CTTTTAAGCTCAGACAAGACTGAGATTTTGGTTTTTGGACCTGAGCATCTTTGAAATACATTTTTCAGTCTTTCGCCCTCTCTGGATGGCATTAATCTGGCCTCCAGCTCTAAAGTTAAAAACCTTGGTGTTATTTTTTGATCAGGACACGTCTTTCAGTCCCCACATTAAAAACGTTAATAGAACCATCTTCTTCCACCTGTGTAAATTGCTAAAATTAGAAACATCTTATCTAAAAATGATGCAGAAGACTGGTTTATGCATTTATCATGACTAGACTGGACTATTGCAATGGTTTATTATCTGGGTGTCCAAATATTTCTTTAAAAAGTCTTCAGTTGATCCAAAATGCTGCTGCCAGAGTCTTAATGGGAGTTAGTGGGAGAGATCATCTCTCTTCAGTTTTAGCTTCTCTCCACTGGCTCCCTGTCAAATTCAGAATATAATTCAAAATCTTACTTCTAACCTGCAAAGCTCTCAACAACCTAGCTCCATCGTATATTACAGATTTTATTGTTCCATATTTTCCTAACAGAACACTTCCCTCTCAGACTACAGGCTTACTTGTGATTCCTAGTTTTCAAAAGCAGAATTGGAGGAAGATCTTTCAGTTATCAGGCTCCTCTCTTGTGGAACCAATTTACAATTTCTGTCCTTGAGGCTGACACATTATCCAGTTTAAAGACTGGGCTTAAGACTTTCCTTATTGATAAATCCTATAGTTAGGGTTGGCTTGGTATGCTGCTATAGGCTTCGACTACTGGAGGAAAAACTAACCCAATTCTCTTAAATTAATTGTTAAAATATTTTTCGTTTGATACTATTTCTATCTTAACTTATGAATCTTGACCTGCCATTGTGTATCTGTTCCTCCTTCCTGTTTCTCTCAAACCTAGCTGGTAGAAGCAGATGGCCGCTTGTCCTGAGTCTGGTTCTGCTGAAGGTTTCTTTCTCATGAGGGAGTTTTTTCTTTCCACTGTCGCCTTCATGCTTGCTCAAGATGAGAGTTCTGCGATGGAGTTAAACTCAAAGCAGTCTGCTCCTCAGATAAATAATGTTATTAATTTACTTTTATATGTATGAATGTTTCTGTTCAGTGCCCTGAGATGACTTCTGTTGTGACTTGGAGCTATATAAATAAAGTGAATTGAATTGTTCCCAGAATATCTCCTGAATGTCTTGTTACCTTTGTGCAGTTCTCAACTTCTTCATGAGTATCAGAGGTTCGAAGTTCTGCCACTTGAGTTCTGAACATGTGCAAAAAATTTGCGCAACCACTTCTTGTTGCGAGCATTTTGAACTCGTCTTCAGAGCAACTGAACTGTCATTGGCACCTGGGTGTGAGTTCTCCGACTTGAAACATCGAAGACAAAAGGTTTGAACCATGTCTGAAAACCACCCCGATGATAAATGTTAGGTTAAAACATTTCCAAATTGGATACAAGCAAATTAATTCATACATGTGACAAAATAATGTACACGGCCAAGAACACAGTTCTGCAAGTTGTTTAAATAAAAATGGCCTTTGACTGAAAATGTGCTGCTCCAAAGGCTGGATCGCGGCTCAACGGTCACCTGATGGTAAACATTCAGAGTTCAACGAGTCTGCAGCCCAACATTCATTTTTTTTAGGCTTGATTTTCACCAACTTGTCTCCCAACTGTCTGAGCTCTGTGAGACATCTCACACTTGTCTCCTTTTGGGACTCACAGAAACTAAACCGGACGAGCAGACACCTGCAACGACTTTATGACTCCTCCAAGCATGTTACATGAATATCAATATTAAATATGTTCAAAATTCCAGCAATGGAAGAGCAACACTCTGCAGCTCACACAAGAAAATGAACCGTCACAAACCTTTGGAGCACATTTTGAAGAATCTGTTTCGATTTGGTGCCAGCTCAGACATTTCTGTATGAACATGATCAAACTTTACTGTCCACAGTCATGAATAAAATACTTTAATAAAATACTGCAAGGATGAAACAAAATGAAACACTTTGTAAGCGTCTCAGTCAGGATCTGATATTTATATTCAAAAACAAGTCATTTTCCCCTTCATTTTCCAAAAGGTGGTGCAATCACCACAAATAAATTAATTAATAAATGTCAAGGCTGTGAGTCAGGACATAACTCTCAGAATGCAAAGTAACTGGGAGGTCATCGTTTCAAGGCTTGGATTTAATTTTACTTCATAATTTCTTTATTTTTATACAAAAATAAGAACGATTTCATCCTGAACTATCTCGTGTTGCATCACAAAGTCAGAGACTCTAAGAGAGCGCTCCTTTAAGAAATATATCTTTTTCTAAAGGAGGAATTAACTAATGAGCAGTGACACACACACCTCTATACACTATAATTTAGTGTTCGACAACACGCACACAACATGTGCTCATGGGTCAAAGGTCGCCGTGATTAGATAAAAGTCCAAAGTAAGAAATGAACTACAGAATGTGTAGGGAGAAAAAAAACATGGCAAGTGGCAAGTAGAAAATAAATATTTATATATTTATATTTGGAAGTGAAGCATGTGATCCTGGAAGTACTGGATGTGCACAACACAGACACCAAAATGTGCATCAAAAGTCATTTTCACTGAATGCATAGTGTGTCTGCAGGACCGGTCTCAAACACGTCAGATTTAAAATAAACAGTAGACAGTTCTTGTGCGAGCAGGAGAAAAAAAAACATTCAAGTCTTGAAATCAGTCTTGCTTACAAATTACTATTTGATTAATTTCTTGGATTCTGTTAAATAGACTCTCCTATAACGTTAGCTGGACTCGAACTCCAGCACACTCATGCTCATGCTTTCGCTGTTCGTACAGCTGATTCATTAAAGGCCACATGCAGGTTTCACAACGTTAATGTTAGAAACAAGACCCCATGCGCTGAGGCGTTAGTAGTAATGTCTGATGTATCTGGGAAAATACCTGCAAATATAGATCTGCTGAAAGGAGTCTCTTTAAACAGGAAGACTGGGGGGGAAACAACATTTTGACATCACAGTGCGTTACAAAACATACGTTACACAATAAAAAATAATGTGTGATTGTGTTTCACTGAGCAGCCTAGGGGCTGCCCCATCTTCTCACTGACATACCCCAAAACATTGAGGCAAAAGTGCATTATAGTAAACATTGCATTACATTTGTTTTTCATTCACAAACGCAAAAAACAAATTCCATCTTTCACAATAGATATTTACAACAAGGGAAGGTCACTGATTTGGAGCAGCCAAAGGTCATTCTGCAACATTTAAATGTCGTAAAAGTGCTGATAAATGATAACGACTCCATAACAAAACACGATTATAGCTGTATGGGTCATCTGGGGACAAAAAGCCCCCAGCGTGCATAAAGTGAGAAAGCTGCCTAGATATTAAATCTGCAATTCAGGTCTTTCGAAACAGAATTCTGTGAAATCATTATGACTAGTTAATATCTTACCTGCTGTAGATAGCTTCTTGATCAACGTCAGTTTGGAGAAATGGCTTAATTCTGACCAAACTGATTTGGTAATAGCTAGTCTGAATGGGTCCAAACCTAAGTGGAATTCTGCCGTCTTAAAACATAACAAAACAATGTGAGTTAAATGTTAGTTTATAAATAGTTTAAGATTAGAACGTTATTTCAGCAGAAATATGATGACATTTCTGCAGGAGGGGCCATCAGCTGCAACAGACATGCTACAGATAGCTCCTGCTTGCAGCACTTACAAATAACTTTAAAGATTGTATCCAACATGTTTTATAAAACTGACTGCGATGGAAAAGTTAATAAAAGTAACATCTGCATGGAGTACCATAAACGTGTTGATACTGCAGATGTGCTAACATGGCTGCAATCCACTTTGAGCTTGGCCACACTTGGACCAGCTGTTATGTACAGTTATGTAGCATGCAGCTGTAAGCAAGCAGCTATTGGCAAACAGCTGTTAGCAAGTGGCTGTTAGCAAGCAGCTGTTAGCAAACATCTGTTAGCATGCATCTGTTAGCAAGAACATGTTAGTATGCATCTGTATGCAAGCATCTGCTAGCATGCAGCTGTTTGCAAGCAGATATTAGCATGCAGCTGTTTGCAAGCAGATATTAGCATGCAGCTGTTTGCAAGCAGATATTAGCATGCAGCTATTAGCAATCAACTCTTTGCAAGTAGCTATTAGCAAGCAGTTGTTTGCAAGCAGCTGTTGGCATGCACCTGTTAGCTTGTTGATCCAATCAGACCCAAACTCTGACTGTGTTAAAAATGTCCACTCACTCCCTACGTTGTGGTCACTTGTAGCCGACTGTGTAGGTTTTCAGGCCAACCTGGTGTTTTTGAACGCTGCTTAAATGCAGCTGCTTAGCATTTGCTTTGATTAGCGTGCTGTGTTGGCTTAGGTCGCAATGCAAGGTCTATTTCCACTGATGTGTACTGGTGATAAGTTTCCAGGGAACTATGGATGAGTGAAAAACTCAAACGCAACCCATTTCTCCAATTTGAGGTTGTTTAAAAAACCATCTGCAACAGGTAAAATATTCACTGTTTGTAACATTTCCACAAAACCCCACTTTAACAATCTGAACTATCACTTTAAGGAAAAGACATCCTATCTTTGACAGCTCTAATGCTGTCAAGCAAAATCTTAATATCATAAATTTTATAAATAATATAAAAACGCTTTCAGATAATTTTTAGCTGCAGCTTCATCTTTGACTCATTATAACACTTTACTGCTTATCTTTAATACATACATTGGAATATCTTTGTTTTGTACTTCTGTAGGTTTACTGCACAAATAAAAACATCTGCAAAACAACACAATGTGAATAAAAACATTCTAAAAATGCAGCAATCCTTTGAGCAAAGTGAAAAATTCTACTCAGAGGACCAACGTGGATCGATGGAAGAAATGCCTAACAGCTTTTAGGAACTGGTTTAATTTACAGGACAAGCTTGCATAAATAAGCTCCAGCCAGGTTGGAGGTGTTGGCGCGTCCCAACATACTTCTGCTCGGTAAACTCTTTGGCATTCAGGTATGCGGTCCGTCGCTTTAAACTTATAAAAAACCTCGTTCGTCCAGACCTTTGGCCATCACCGGCTTCCATTTTGCAGTGGCTTTATTGCTAGTATGGCCTGCAGAGGAAACAAGAGCAGGATGTTCTTGAGCAAACACATGAGAGGAATCCAAAAAAGTTCAATCTGGTCCTCTGGACATTCAAAATGTTTTGAATGTCCAGAGGACCAGATTGAACTTTTTTGGATTTTTCTACCTGGATTATTGAGCATGCATCAGGACACATGAGAGGAACATCTTTCTTTTATTCTCTGCAGAGTCTTACTTGTTTCAGGTCTGGCTTTTGGCACGTCTTGTGAGTGTGCATCACTGGAGAGCGTGTGACTGCTCTCGGCCCGTGGCGCCATGGCAGAGAGGACCAGGGGCCTCTGGTTGTGGTACTTGAGGCGGTACGTTTCCGTCATACAGTTGTCCACATTAAAGTATGTTGTCAGAGAAACCTCCGGAGTTGGAGCTGCCTCTTCCCCTCGGTACCCTGTCAGTCGCTCCTCACTGTCACATGATGACTGGGTACTCCTCTCGGGGTCAGAACCCGACTTGGAGCTGGCATCTGAGAATGTCCTGAGGCCTGCAATGTCAGGCCTGCGGTGAGGACTGACGTGGGACGCTGACGAGAGGCGGGGGCTTGATAAAAAGTGTTCCTGAAGCATCCTGGGACGAAACAAAGCGTGACTTGCTTCACCGGGAGAGATCTGCGGGCTCGGTCGAAGGTGAGGCGACCCGGTCGATCCGAGCTGGTGCTGGTTGGACGGTTGGACGGGCTCTGATGTCACATTGGAGGGGTGGTTGTACAGCAGGTCTGTGGGGGGGTCCTGGGAGTCAGAGGCCACAGCCTCACTGTTACTGGAGAGGTAAGTGCTTTCTCTGTCTTCAGACTCAGACAGAATGAGGTCCTCGGAGCTGTTCCACTCAGAACTACTGGTTTTGGTGATCCGCCTCGGGGTCGGGCCTTCACCACCAGGCCCTCGGCAGCTCAGCAGCTCCTGGTGCTCGCTCTGCTGGAGGTCTGAACTGCTGGAGTTTGTCTCTGATGACGTCGCCTTTCTCGAGGTGCTTGAAGAATACTTTGACTTCCGTCTGCAGAAGAATACACAAATGCTTAGTCTTTAAAATGTGAAAATAGAACGTTACGCATTATTTTGTTGTTATTTATTAAAGTCAGCGTGAGGAAAATGTAGAAATTAATTTCTTCTGTTCTTTGTTTTTTACTGCTTTGTATCTTATTATTAAAAAAACTATAAATCACAGTTTCCTCACATCATCAGTTTGGGCAGTTTACAAATATACTGTATATATATATATACACACACACACACACATATATATATATATATATATATATATATATATATATATATATATATATATATA